AGTACAACATAAAAATAAATAGTAAAAAAACAGTTAAAAAGACCAGACTCATCAGCTAGGTACTAAGCATTATTTAAATAACACAAACTTATTTGTTGTAATAGACTTGAGAATTTAAGTGATTATCAAACTTGTGATACTTCTATTCAATTACATAATAAAAGTGAGTTCTACTATCTCGTTTTATGTTCTGATTGTTACATTATGGTGGCTTGAATCGTATCTTTTTAATGTGTGTTACTATAAAACAGCAGCCAGGTGAGCATAATATCCGGTAATTAGATATAAGCAAACAGGATGAAATATGAATACAAAAAAACGTGTGATTTTACAAGACGGCTACTTCAGTTTGAATTCTAAGATAAACAAAAATATCATGAATTTATACGGAAACGTTGTTTTTCGAACTCTTTTAACTTAATAAACTTGCACAAATTCAAGAAATGTGCCGATCTTGACGTCATATTAGTCACGATAGCAAGATTTTTTGTTATGTCTAGCATATAACTAATTTTACAATTAAACACCACGTGACTTCATTTGTCTGACATGATGATAAAATTGTAACTTTATATTTTGTTGTTTAATTAAATTCAGAACCTTCGGAGTAACCACTAAGCAAATTTCAATGATCGCTGTCAAAGGATTTCATATGTTGCGTCTTAAAATTACAAAGAGCTTGCAGATGGACACGGGGGAAAACCCTGACATCGTGTTCAAATGAAATATAAGGTTATATCCATTGATCATATTTATTAGAAAGCATTTCGAATACTGGCCTTGACTTTATAATCAATTTTCACTAAATTGTTCACGACGTGAACATGACATGATCAGTCGCTGTATCATGTTGCAATGGAAATGGAGCTTAAAGCTTTCACAAGTGAGAATTAAATATCGCTTGATACCAACTCGATTTGTTTAATTTCAGTATAATAATAAACAAGCCTTTTGCGAATTAAAATTATGATTGAAATTAGGTAACGAAGGTTGAAGGCACATAAAGTAAAAGTAATGTTTTATGGGTAATATTTGGTATAAGTTTTGACAAATATATTTTGTGGACAATCTGCAATAAACTTATCGGTTATAAAGGGAGCCGATCTGGTTGGAGGTCTTCATAAGTACGTTAGAAGATATTTTACATTAAAAAAAAGTTCTCTGGTAAATATTTGACTAATGATGCAATAGTTCACGTATTTTTTTGTTATTTCATTTACATACTGAGAAATTCCTAAACTGTTACAAGAGCCCTTACCATCTAACTCCATATTGAATCAGCATAAAATTAATTACATGTCCTGTCCTGATATAAAAATTGTCTATAATAAACTAAACATGTACAGAATGTGGCGAGGTTAAACTAATCTGCTGGCGTCAAACCCTCCCCTTAACCTGGGACAGTGGTGTAACAGTACAACATAAGAACTCATTGGTATTTGCTTCATACCAGTATTGTTTTCGAAAGGCTTTTGAATCTTTACTTAATCATAGTCACAGTATCGATATTCTATTCGTGCATTTGTGATTTCTAAAGAAAAACGTAATAAAATGCATTTATGAATACGTGACTAAATTAGGAATGCCTAAAGATGGTTAAAAATTGCAATTTTTATAGATCATGCTAAACTGCTTTTGCTGTCTATTCAAATAACGAATTAGAGGGACAAGTTTTTATCCAAAACCAAGATTAGATCGCAAGTAGAGGTATGTATTGTATAACAGATGTAAATTATTTCATTTGTATATATATATATATCTGTTATGTATGTTTTTCGTTGCAACTATTAAAAACATGAACAATGTGCAATTGTGTATCAAAAAGTGTGCATGTGAAGCGCTTAATAACAAATGTGGAATTGTCATGTAAAATTCGTCTCTCTAAATTCTAGGGGGTTAAAAAATTTAACAACTTTCTAATTTGGCCCTATATATATATATGAGTGTATTAAATGTAATGGAAATTAGGGCCTACGGGGTATGTTTTGTCACATGATTTTGCAGAGCTGAGCATGCCTAGTTTTACAATTGTTTGCTGAACTGGGCATGCATTGTATTATAATTTTCATACGATCTGTACACAATGAACAATTCACCTTAGAAATTGCACAAGTGAGCAGTTCATATATACATGTATATAACATAAGGCATCTATATACAAAGTATGAAGGACCCAGTTCTTCTACCTTATGAATATTAAGCTTTTTAGTAGTTTGTTAACGCTGCTGCCGCCGCCGGATCACTATCCCTATGTCTCGCTTTCTGCAACAGAAGTTGCAGGCTTGACAAAAACCATTTCTCATCATAATGCAACTTATATTTGCAAAATTCAAAGCTTAATTTAAACTGACTGTAATGTATGACTTTAAAAAAAATAATTGAAATTCAATTTCTGACTACAGAAACATAAAATTTCAATATCAAGATGAATTTTGGTTGATTTTGTCGTGTTTTTCCTACTGCTGTAAAGTCTTTTTATAACTTTTATATTGAGTTTAGTAAAAAAAAATCATAGGTAATGAAGTGTCAAGAAATATTGACCCCCCTTTTTTCATCAGTTACCAGTAATGGACCATTAATTGATCAATAATACATTTATGGTCATGAGACATTTTTCATTTACTATAAGTCAATAGTATTTAAGGACTTTAAGGTAGAAAACTTTTATTTGAGACAATTTATTAAGGTATCTAACACGTGTGCGGCATGCTTGATTCCTTAGACTGTTGGTATTTAAAATATTTTGCAGTCCATGCATATTATCATTGATATTTTTAAGTAATAGAATGGCAATAAACAACATCGTCTAGTTGGGCCGGTTCCCTTTAAAAAGACAAATAGATAACTATAAATAAAATACATGTTTACCACCCCCCTTTTCCCTCCTTCCCCCTTCCCGATTCACACTATATACTCCCAAGTACAGACAAACACCAAACTTGTGTATCTTGAAAGGTTTTCTCGCAGGACAGAACAGAAAATTGAACACTTTTCTGGATTATGACGTGCATTTTTTTTCAAATCTGCGGAGAAAGGTTAAATAAACTATAGACACATGAATTTCACTTGTTACCGTCCAATCAGTTGCAAAGTTTAAATCGCCCATTGTCAAGTTGTGTAGATATCTATTGTCCACATTTTGTCAATTACAATGATACAAAGAATAAGTCTATACTACAATTATTACACGCAGATCGATCGTTCCCAACATATATAAAAATGATGTGGTATGATTGTCAATGAGGGAACCATCCACCAGAGTTAAAATGAAGTGTTAGTAAGCAATTAGAGGCTACCTTTCGTCCTTCAACAATGAGAAAACCTATACCGTATAGTCGGCTATAAAAGGCCCCGACATGAAAAGTGTGAAATAGTTCAAACGAGAAACTATAACGGCCTAATTTACAACAAAACAATTCTACGAAAGACAAATATGACAAACATGAACCAACGACAACCAGTGTACTACTACAGGGTCATGTTTTTTTTGTTCTTCGGTAGTGAGTCAGAAGAGGTCCATTTCTGTTTTTTTTTTTTTTTTTTTTTTTTTTTTTTTTTGCATTGGGAAGATCTTCTCTTCTCCCTCTTCCTTATAGATAGGTAGTTTAGACAGCAGAGTCACATAACAAACATGGCGTCGCTTACTCTAAATGACATTAATAAATTTATGAAAGCATATATAATGCCCGGTAGAATGTGAGCTGTGTGATAAACGTTTTTATGGTATGGAAGCCTTAGTAGGACATCCAAGTACAATACGGACAATAACTGTCAGGGGACGACTATTTGATATTCTGGGGAGGGGAGGGGAGGGGGCAGGAGGATTTTTTTGCGGATTTATAATTCATTTTAATTTGCCGCTAATCATGCTTATTTTTTCAGCTCTGACCAGGCCACCATATTCATATATTTAACGTCCAGTGACAAATATTTCATGCATGTTCAGGAAAACACGGGTTTAAATGTCAGGTATAAATATAAAAATAAGGAGATATGGTATGATTGCCAATGAGGCAACTTTCCACCGGAGTTCAAATGAAGTGGATGTAAGCAATTATAGGCAACCGTACGTCCTTCAACAATGACAAAACCCCATACCGTATAGTCGGCTATAAAAGGCCCCGACATGAAAATGTGAAACAATTGAAACAAAAAACTAACGGCCTAATTATATATACTAGTCAACAAAAGTAACGATACACTGTGACAAGTTTGAATTCTAATTTATCATAAAATATAATAAATAGGAAAAACTGTTAAATTATCCAATGGAAGACATTCATTTGCTATGATTAAAACAATCTGTCCGAATTGGAAAGTGAGAAAATACTGTGTTATTGAACACAGGGGTCAAATTTATTTTGCGGAAAATAATGAAAAAAGTCGGCACTTAATTTCGAAGATGAGAATTAAGTATTCAAATATCTGCAAAGGCCGTGATTTAAAATTTTACGCAGATTTCAAACTGTAATTGATTTGAACCACCATCTAGCAAATCCAAGTTAGCTTAAACGTACGATACCCCGCTTGAACTTCTAGATTGAACGCGGTCAAGGATTTGTATAGTGTATACAGAAATCCTTGACGAGGTTTATTTACAGCCGAAAAAAAAAAACCCAAAAATAATAAAAGAAAAATCTTCGACTCTGTTTATTTATATCTTTATTTAATATTATTCATCTTAAACAAATGAAGATGATTCAGCATGGCTTAAAACAAGATTTGGTAGTAACAGAGGGGGAAATCACCGGAAAATTACATTGTTACTGTCTGCCTAACTCATTCCGCTTCTCCACATGATACGGGTACCAGGTAAAAAGCACCTGTCAAATCCTTTTTAGAAAGCGAATTTAAATTAACAGTGAGTAGGGCAATAAAATGGGTTAAATCATATAAAATTAACTTATTTGTATATATTTATATCTTTAAGATATATAGTACAAGCATCGGGGTAAAAATAGCTTTGTGGTAAATATTTAACATTAAAGTTCGTTTCCTAAAAAAGTTGATTGACCTTAGTAACGTATGAAAATGGAGTCGGACAGATATTTTCTCGATATCTGAATACTTCAAATTTAATTAGCTGACAAGTATTTTAGAAGCATATGTAGGTAAATCTCTTAGAATTGAGGAAATGTATAGATTTACTTGTAGAAATAATATGTGCTTTAGGGAATTATCACGTTTTCTTACCAATTTTGTACATTGTTTACTTTTAAATTTGCACAGACATGTTTCCAGTATTTGCAAATAAGATTAACTTACAGGGTGTCGATGGTCAGAATAATTTGATTATATTGCAAAGTGTAGATTTTTCATCAAGAAGAAGGAACATTCAAAACCAAAATCAATACATTGTGCAGACAGTGAGGCCTTTCAACCTGTATCTTACCTCCCCTTGCATTCCCCTACTCCAGTCTCCAGTTAATGTATAAAAAATAATAAATTGTTATAAACTGGTTTGAAAACCGATTGGCATTTTGGCATATTTAATGAGACAGCTGGCACAAGGAACTTGTCACTATTTTAGAATAAAAAAAAAATGTACAGAGCAGTCCAGTTGGACTGTAATTTGGTCAATGTTGGTAAACTCGTAAAACTAATTATCAGATAATGTTTTATGAACAAATTCAAGACATTTTTAATTTAATCTCATGAAAGATTAAGGAATTCAATATTTGGATTTTGTGTAAACATGGTAAAGTGTGTCTTAAATTAAGGAAACCCCTAGGCCTGTTTTGACAGTTATTCAGATATCTTGTGATTCCTTGCATGCCTTCTAAAAATATTTAATTTTGAATGGAGGAAAAATTTATACTACAAAAAATAGTTCAGTTTAAACTAAACAGACTGTCAAGAATGCAAAGCAGAATATTTCATTTGATTAAATTTGCCTTAAACATGTTAAAATGAAACATTTTTTTCTGAACATGCTAAAGATGTCGTTAATTTGAATGGAAAATGGTTAAACCTGGGATTGCAATTGTAAATAATGCTTGACCTTACCAATTTAAAACTTTTCTGTTCCTTTAGAAGACTAAAACAAGAACAGTTTTATTTATGTCACATTTTCGATATGACGAAATCAGGTAATTCATAATATCAACATGGGATTCCACTGTAATACTTTTGTTTTTACAATGTACACTTGAAGAAATAATCTCATTGTGAGGACTTTTCAGTAACAATGGATACATATGACATGTATAATAAACATATTTTTAAAAATGTTTGAATTTGTAGTATTTTTGGGAAAAGGAGAGTAAGGTTTTTAGCATGATTATAAAAAACCAACGGCTTTAATATGCTATTCTGAATATTTGAAGTAATCCCTCTTAGGATTCTGTGTAAGGAGCGATTTTCTGATTTGGCTGTCCTCAGAATCCATTATTAAGCCTTATAAAATCTATTTGGGAAAATATTTACCAACCACCCCTGGAACTTATGCCTGTTACACCAACAGCAGCAATGATTGGCTCATTAACTGCATTTACTAATTTACAATGATTATAAAACAATAATTAAGCCATAATCAATAAATAAGCACCTATTTGATATATATGAGTGATTTCATTTTGTAATTGTAAAGAAAACACATTTACAAAAGTGCAAAGATAGAAATCACCAATGCGTTTTACCATTTCAAACAGAAGATTTCGTGGAGTTTTAAATGGAGATTTAGCATTTATAAACCTACCATTGCATACGAAAGAAAACAAATTTTATGAAAAGAATGATACAATGTTCTAAAAGGAAATCGATTTCTGGATTATCATTTTGATATTCGAAACTTGGTACAGCTGCTACTCAGACTTTATAAAATGTTACCAGAGTCTGAGTAAAAAAGTCAATAAACCAGAGTTATGTCAAAGAACGTCTCATCCTTTTTCTAAAAAAGTTCATAGAAAGATACCAAGACCTTGTTGATAAATATTTCGTATCAACTTCATAAATAATACATTATAGTGTTTGAAGTTTAGATTCTAGGTACTGACGTTGTTTATCATCTTAATGACATGTTATAGAGTTCTATTTATTTGTCTTTGTTTATACATTGATATTATTAACCTGTACTGTTTAGTCCATTTTTGTTAATATACTTTTGGCATGGCTCAGTAAATATACATCCTGCCATTGTGTTATTGTGCTATGTTCATTTTTTATTCTTGTCTTTCTTTTTTGCTTATGTACTTTGCCTATAGAGTGTCTTTATGCCATTTTGTTTTTCTTTGTTGAAATAGTTATTTGTTTTTATAGTGATTAAGATTAAAACACAATGTTGACTGCTGTACCCCTATTTTTGACATTTTTACCTATTATATCTTTTTGTTTTGTTCACACATTGTCAATATAATGGAATTCTATGCGACTGTCATACAAGTGAGAGGTTTAGCAAGCTATAAAACCATGTTTAATCCACCATTTTTTACATTAGGAAATGCCTGTACCAAGTCATGTACATGTATAGTACGCTCTATAAAAAAACCCTGGCATGACAAAATGTAAAACAATTCAATCAAGAAAACCTATAGCCTGATCTAATTTGTGCCTGAAAAAAAACAAAACAAATATGGCATTTGGTTTATGTACATGTATATACATCATGTACATGTGTGAATGTATTAAGGGAGCTACCATTTGATTTTTACGGGGAGCTAGGATGAAATTTGAAAAAAATAGGCAGGACAGGAGTTTTGAGTAAAAAAAAAGGCAGGATGAGATTATTTGCCAAAAAAAAAGGCAGGATGACAATTTATGTAAAAAAAACCAGGATAAACAAAAAAAAGGCAGGACCGAATAGAGTGAAAAATAAAAAGGCAGGACCGAATAGAGGGAAAAATAAATAGGCAGGACAAATTTTTTCATGCTAGCCCCTTATAAAAATCAAATGGTAGCTCCCTAAGTTATTCAAAATATGAAGTTTTTATGGCAATCTGTGAGGGTTCATATTGTGAACAAGCTGACTTCTCATTCTGCTTATAATAAATGCTTTTTAATTTATTGTTTTCTAAACATAGAAATAAGAAGATGTGATATGAGTGCCCATGAGACAACTCTCCATCCAAGTCACAATGTGTAAAGAGTAAACAATTATAGGTCAAAGTATATTTGTTTTGAGGTTTTGAATTTGCTTTGATACATTTAACAGTGGGCTAGTAAATTAGGACATCATAGTCATCAGTCAGGTTAAAATATTCAAAATTTTTACTTTGAGGGAAAAAACAGAAGAAGTAGTTTATTTTATTTTGGTTACATGGTTATGAAAAAAAAAGAATATCTTTTCGCTTTATAAAAATATTTGAATGAAGATGCATAATATGTTTGATGAGAATGATATTTTGTAGATAAGATAAAACATTCCACACCTGTTGTTAGCAGAAGATATTCTTCACCAGTATGACTGATGTACTTGATGGACCATTAGGGTCCTTGAAAAAGCGAGCTGATCCCCATGTGTCAGAACTGCAAGCCAAACTACGGGAGAGAAAAAAGCTAGGATTGACCCATGATTTGAGTGATAGTGATGTTCTGGAGGACAATGATGATGGAGATAGTGAAGATGGTTTGTTTCTGTTTAATACTAAAAATGTAGTTTGTCTTTACTAACTCCATGGATATTATTTTAATCCCACTTATACATGTAGTATGAGTGGTACTAAAATGTAACCATTATCATTTTTCACCATTTTCGGCATATTGATAAGTACATTGAAGTATGAAATATCAGCTGCAAGTCACAATATGAAGCTTGCTGTCAAGTGAGTGCTATTTAAAAAGGCTGCAAATTGTGTCAATGTTTGATCATATCATTCAAAAAATTAAAGTAATCTATGAAAGACCCCAACATAACAAGATGCATAGCAATTTAAATTCTCAAAAACAAAAACTAAAACCATAAAGTAGAAATGCAAACACCACCAAGCCTGGGGCACATTTTACTGCATACACACAGCATGAGCAGCAGGCACAGATGTCGTTTAACTAATTTTAAAACATAATTTTTCTTTCAGTTGCATTAGGATAGAGTCAACAGTATTGTATTTGATTATGAGAAGGCATGTTTGATTTGATGATCCAAAAATGATGCTACAAATGTTCAAATACTAATATATTATCTCCTTAATGGCAGGTTTAGGAGCAAAAATATAATTAGGATGAACAAATAAAAGGACACGTAGGTTAATGTCAATCAGACAGCAACCTAATGCTACTAACACATACATGTCAACATATAGTCTTCATAATCCATTTGAGAAAATAGGTTTCAATGCATATGGGTAAAGACAAAATGTTGTGAGGGGCCAAACGGAGTAAGATGGGGTCAAGACTCAAGAGTTTATTAAACCATAGAAAAATTGTTATTGATAAATGTATGTTATTTTTTCTAGATATCCTGAACCAATATAGAATAGAATCTAGTAGCCACAGGAGAACTGATCGTCCTAGTTCAGCAAAAAGGAGGTCACCTGTATCAACTGGTGCCTATGATAGTGGAATTTCATTAGGTGATACACTAAGGCCAGGACAGGGAAACAGATTCATGAAATCATCAAGAAGTACAACCCTGAGTTCTTCTCCTTCATCACAACGTAAATCAGAAATGCCATCAATTGCTTCCCCAAAACAGTCTCCAAAAGATAAACAAAGTTTGCTCTCTGACAGTTTGTCATATGAACAGAAAGAGGCTATCATCATGAATAGAAAAACTCCAACTAAAGATCTACAGCAGTAAGTAGTGATGGGATGATAGAACATTAAATCTACACTACAGCACAAGTGAATTTCCTTATTGCTTCCTGGCCACCATGGGAGGTCCACTCAAATTTTATTTTATATTTTGTAGAAATATTGAATGTTCAAATTTTTTAATGGCACTACATGGATAAAACCAGAAGATTCCAAATATCTGAGAAAGGTCAAAAACAAGAGGAGCAAACATCCTTAAAAGTCAATGTCAAGGCCATGCATCATAGATTTTTATAAATTTTACCTTCTGTCAGAAAGCAATATAATTCACCTACAATGTAGATGGAAATTTTTAGTGCAAAATTTCAAAGATGAACTCTTTTTTTTAAATGTGAATCTTTGCTACAACACAATCTGTGTTTGGAGAGAGAGACAGTAAATCTTCTCTCTGTGTAATGCATGCTTATATATATAGCACATTATATGTTTATTTTGCAAAATCCTTTAGATGTAAATTTTAAATAAAGTTACTTTAACACTTATTTGATATCAATATTTATTTAAAATTATTAATTTTAATTATGCTGTTATTTTACATAAATTTGTATTAATTAATATAATGTGTTGAATAAAAATATAATGAAAAGATATACATTTTGTAGTGTCACCTTTAATGAACTCATTCTATTGCTAATTAAACTGAATGCATAAGTTGCAAAAGGTCAGTTGTCATTAGATTAATTCATTTACTCTGGCATTATTATTCTTCATTTAAAACTGTTTTGTCTCAAATTTCAGCATGTCATTTGCCAATCAATCTATTCACTCAGGTAATGAAACACTTTCATATTTTCTTTAAATCAGATAAAATGTATCAAATATGGGAAAAGGTTGGAAGTAATTTATATAAAACAATGAAATTGTAATTATTTATACATAGCAATGCATGTATTTAAATATTATGGTCTTAAAAACAATCATTTTACAGAAGACAGAGCCCTGTTGACCTTTCCAAACCATGGCAGCCTCCATCCTACAGAAAAGTTAGTGCAACACCAGAAGATGACATAGGTGACACTGCAAGTTCAGGTATGTATTAGGTTTATATTTGTTCCCAGGCGTCTTGAAAATCCAGTCCCACAGGGAACAGGCCAAGGTAACAGTTGTTTAAAAGCAAATGAACTGGATGCTGATATAGCGATAAAAAAATTTCAGAACTTTTACACATTATAACTTCTTTATTTTCCCCCAAAATGCTGTAAAACAAAATATTATTTTTTTTCAATCCTTGTTCATAACAAGCATAAATAGTATAAAAAAAGCAAATGAAAGTATATTGAAATGTGATGGGATAATTTGTTTCTGGTCTTTAAAAATATGACTAAAATAGGAATAATATACTACATAAAAGTTAAAAAATATCATTTAGGGTTAAATATTTTATTTTTACATTTTGAAATTAGAAGTCACTTAGGTCAAATTATCAGATTTTTTTGTTCATTTTCTGAAACAATAATCCTTAAAATTCTTCTCCAGAAGCACCTTAGTTTGTGCAGTATAATTGAAACATGTCTTGTTACATAATTTAAACACCAATCCTAAATTTTTTTTCTAAAAGCACCTCAGTATTGCAGTTTGCACATCCATTTCATAAGAATTTTTAGAATGCACAGAGAAAATTATTAAGACGCATATTTCATCATATTTTAGAAAATTCAATTTGTATATCACCTATAAAAAAAGCGACAAGTGTATACAACAGAAAGATTACACATAAAATTGCTGATTAAATTCATTTTTCAAAGGTATAATTATCTTCATATTCAAACTGCACTAAATGAAGAAAAAAAATGACATGAATACACTTTGTATTAATTAGCAATAAATCAGTATAAATTATCCAGTTGAATTCATTATAAAAGCAAAAAGAAAATTTACCACTAGAAACTGTATGTTCTTACATAAGTATATTTGCAACACTCAAATTATAAATGTTTCAAAACATTTCAGGTTTAATGAGAGGAAGAAAAACTCCACAAGACCCATTACTTGAATCCATCAGTGAGACACCATCTCCTAGGTACAGGAAACAGAGTCCCAATTCTGACAAAAAGATGCCTTCTATGCCAGGGTTGGACGGGAAAAGTCCTGGACTGGACAGAAAAAGTCCTAAACTAGACAGAAAAAGTCCTGGTTTAGACAGGAAAAGTCCTGGTTTAGATAGAAGAAGTCCTGGTTTAGATAGAAGAAGTCCTGGTTTAGATAGAAAAAGTCCTGGTTTAGAAAGAAGAAGTCCTGGCACAGATAGAAAATCACCCAAGTATGTTATTACTCACATTTGTTAACATCTGCCAAGTTTTTATGTAATTTTGGTAATAAGCAGTATTTAGTTATAGATTTTTTCTTCGCCAGAAAAAAAATTCTAGATATATAAATGTATAAGAAATATTACCATTGTCCTTGTACTTACGTGTGATGAAATAGGGTCATTGCATGGATATTTGTTAAAGTGTCCTGAGTAGATTTTTATATTGCCCAAGCTCGTGAGTTCAATATATGTTCTAGGAGGGATAATAATCACCAATATTCATGCAATAACCCTTCTATTGTATAACAAATTTTGAAAAACATTTAACATGTGTTTGTCACTAATGATGTCACTAATTTGAAGCTTTAATGTGGAGTGATGTAATATGATATGTTATTGCATGCTAACGTTTGGATATGTTCTGTATGAAATATGTTTTTCCTATACAATAAATTACATTACTGCGCTGGTATATCTTTCATTCATCATTATTGTCTGACATCTGTTCAACATACTTTTACAATGAAAATCGACGATTTGAAATGGAATGAGCTAAAAAAAGATACCCATTGAAGCTTTACAATGTCTTACCTTCCAGCAAATCTAAATAGATAACTAAAATGAGAAAGCAAAAGTAAACAATAATGATGTGTCTGATTTTATTCATGACCTACATTTTTTAAGATGTTTTATTTTGGTTTGACTTTTTTGAAGAAAAATATTAGATGTATCCAAATTTTGCACTTTTCAAGAAAAATATAAAGATATACTTACAAAAAATTGAAGGAAAATGTAGAGGATGGTAGACTAAGGATAATTAAGGATAATTTTCTCTGCTTTACAGGGCATTAAACTTAGATGATCCTCTGATGTCTGTTAAAGGTGCCACACCACGACCAAAACTTAAGACAGATGTTTTTGGAAGCTCCTCAGCTATGGATGCATCCCTAGATGAAGAGCCTACACCAAAACCTAGAAAGTCAAGATTTTCTAGTGCAGGACAGAAAACAGAAAGTGATAGAATTCCTGGGAGAAAAACTCCCACAGAAAAAGATAGATTTGGTGGTCGGAAAACACCAACGGACAAAGATAGATTTACAGGTCGTAAAACTCCAACATTTGGCAAAAAGTTTGAAAAAGAAGAAAATGAAAAAGCCAAGGAAAAAAGTGAAAGAAAGCAGGAGCCAAGTTTAATGGATTTTTTAACTGGTGATGTTACTGAAAAAGAAACACAGAAAAAAGGAAAGAAAAATGGACTTTTTGATGAAGATGATAGTGACGAGGAAGAGGGAAGAAAACAAAAGGTCAAACCTAGACGACCACAACATGAAATTCAAAAGGAGGAGGAGCCAGAGGTAGACAGTTTTCAAGCTCTTTTAGCCAAGAAAAGTTATCAAAAAGGAAGGAAACCACAAGCAGATGAAAGTTCTATTTGTGAAGAATATGAATTTGAACCAGGCCTGAAAAAAACTACAGATTTGCATATGGAACAGAGCCAAACACTCAGGTAAAAAGAACATAATATTGAATATTGTTACAAATTTATCGTGTTATTATCAAATATGAAATGTAAATATGATTCTCATATTTTTACCAAAAAATCTATAATGCAGCAGATTTAACTGTATACTCCTGTTTTTTCCATTGTATTATTCAAAAAATCAAGACCATATATAGCTTGAATCTATTATGTGAATAATTTCGTTAGGTCAAAACCACAATTCCTGTTAATTTTATGAAAATGTCTTGAGAAATAATTAATATTATACTAACCTAGAAAAAAATGCAAGTATTTTTTACAGTTAAAAAATGTGAAGAGAACCCTTATTTTTGTCATTTTTGTCTTGCCCATGACAAATACTATGGAAGCAAGACTCAGCGGTTTCAACAATTGTAGAAATCTGTGATTAGCTATCAGTCACACACTCAAGTCATATCTCCGTGTCAACAGTTTATTCAAGCATGTAATTTCAATATTTTTTGTTAATTGTGTATATAATTTCTCTTACATTTAATATTTTAAGTCAAGAGGAATCCCCTATAGTATACATGGACAATGCATGAAATGGATTTGGTACAATTGAAGAAAAAAACAGATCTGAGAAATTTATAACTATCAAATCAAACAAAATTTCAAAACAAAACTATGAAATTAAACAGTGAAATTTTTCTGGTTTGAATTGTTTTACATTTGTCATTATGGCCTTTTAAAGCTGACAATGCGAAATGGGTTTTGCTAGTGTTGAAGGCCATACGGTGACCTATAGTTGTTAATTTCTGTGTCATTTGGTCTCTTGTGGAGAGTTGTCTCATTGGCAATTATACCACATCTTATTTTTATAAGCTACATATATAAGTGAAAAATTCTAAAAATCTTTATTTAAATCAGAAAAAAATGCAATGCACCAATGGTATGTATAAATGTACATTGAATTATAATTAAAGGTCATACAACAAACAGAGGTCAGATAAACAGCAAGCTGAAGATGCAATAGATATGGTGGCAGGTCAACAGAGAACTCAACAAATGAAGCCAATAGAACGCCCAGATAGTTCTAAAAAGTAGGTCACTTTATACAAAAAAAATCCAACAACAAAAAACATACTTTGGAGAAAGATCTGATCAGATTCTTCTTTTGTTGAAATGTTTTATAAATGTGCTCATTTATATTCCATAGATCAACAAATAAAAAAAAAGTTGTCAAAATCTGAAGTTTCTGGCTGCTTTCTCAAATATTTATTGATGGTACACTGTAGCTTACACACTTATAGCAAGAAAGAATTAATTAATGCAGTTTAATATCCAATTAAATTTGTATGTGTCACAGTGTCATAGAACTGAACCGCTCTAAAATTATAAATATTCTGAAGCCTTTGATATAACTGTAGAATTTAAGAAATTTTTGGTAGATTTGATATTTGTCTTTTCTTTGTTGGATTATCATGTAAATGGGTATAGTTGTGAATTCATAAAAAAATTTATTTGGAAACTTGAACACAAATATCAAGAAAAAGTTGCTGCAGTTTGCCTGAGTATCCATAGAAGGTTGTGTTTTTGCTGATTTTTTGTCTCGCCCTGACAGAGTCAAAAAGTGTAACATACATGTAGGTATGCTGTTTCCAGCAGCAGCGGCATCAACAATGTATTAGTTTGTGATTAGGTCTAGTTTATGGTGACCCACTAGTGGTAGGTCAATGATATTTGGTATGCAGTTGTATTAGCATTGGCACATCTCATTACCATGGAGATTATTTATCCCTGCCCCCTTACTCATGGTCTATTGACTTTGAAACTTTGCTTAGTTTTAAATACATGTATTAGTTTGTGATTAGGTCAGTTTATGGGGAACCACTAATGGTAGGTCAATGATAATTGGTATGCAGTTGTATAGGCAATAGCACATCTAATTTCATGGAGAATATTTGGTCCTTACCCCTCAGTCATGGTCTATTGACTTTGAAACTTTTGCTTAGTTTACTTGTATTAGTTTGTGATTAGGTCAGTTTAAGATGAACCACTAATGTTAAGTTAATGATATTTCGTATGCAAATAATACATTTGCAAGTTTCATTTCCATGGAGATTATATAACACCACCCCCTCATTATGGTTCATTGACTTTGAAACTTTTACATAGTTTACAAGTTAATGTTTGTGTTTAGGTTTATTTAAAGGGAACGACTTATGAAAAGTCAATGGTATTTGATATGCAGTTGTATAAGCATTGGCACATCTCATTTCCATGGAGACTGTTTATAAACCTGTACCTTCAGTCTTGGTTTATTGACTTGGAAATTTGCATAACTTACATCTTAAAGTATTGCTATTTTAATTTCAACATTTGCATTATCAAAATAACAAATAGGCGAGACATATCTCTGTCTTAACAGTTTATGTGTTCTTTTTTCTCTGTCTTTTTTTATTTTGTTGTTGTGTAAAAATTTGTCTACTTAGTGAACATGATTTTTTATTATAATAGTAAATATTCTTTTACTGAAGAGCTCTTGAGATTATATTGGTGTCTTAGGTTGAAACAGGTGTGATATTGAAAAAGTCATATGATATTCTCTATTTATTTTAGAACAACCACAAGCAGTAAAATTGTGAAGCCAAAACCTCGACATTCCCTACCTGGTACCCCTACTCCTTCTTTAACCCTGTCTGAGACAGAATTTAATGATACCAAATCTCTGAGGGAAGCTATCTTTAATGACTGGAAGAAAGAAAGACTGAATTCTGCTCGACAAAAACAATCTGAAGAAAAGAAGAAAAAAGAAGAAGAGGAAAAGAAAAAGAAACAGGTATTGTAAATTTGAATGAAATGAGAGTTGCGGTAAACATCAATGAGACAGCCACCGAACTGTACAAATTATCATTGCAGACAGTACCTTTAAAATATTTATACAAATGGGGACATGTGATGGTCTGAATTTGGGAGCAGAGTTTTAAAATAATTTATTAAGTCTATCATTTTTTTTGTCTTTTTTTTTCAGGCTGAAGTTTTTGTCTGTTTTTTAAACAAAGGTCTTATAATGCCTTTTTTGTGACTGTCTGTTTTTTGGTAGTAGTTATGATTATAAAAGTCCTTTGTCAGCTATAATTGTAAGAATTTTAAGGAATTTAAGACTGTTTACTTTATGAACTAACAAATTAAAAAATCCAGCTCAGCATGTCGGTTTTGTACAAAGCAGGGTAAATATTCATATTACATTAACATGTTCTCTTCCTGAATATGCATATTAATTTGCTGCTGGACGTTAAGCAGCCATCCATCGTCATCATCCTACAAAAATATGCACATTGTAAGAGATATCAGTGAATGTATAATGAGTATATCCATGTCGTCAGTAGGCGTCTGTCTTGATCCTACTTTAAGCAGCTGTTGAGATGGAAAAAAGCAATTAAAAGATGTTAATATGATAAAATGCTAATTAATGAAAAAATGTCTCTCACCGTATATTATGAGCATATATCTATGTCTTGTTGGTTTTTTTTAACAAGTCAAAAAAATATAATTGTCTGTATATGTTGAAAAACCAGTATGTACCTATAAAAGTAGGTTTATTTAGTTTGATGTAAGAAGTATTTGCTTAAACAGTATTTATTTTTATTTTTATTTTTCAAAGGATTTACAAAATAAAAGATTAGAGAATGAGGCAGCATATAGAACTTGGAAAGAACAAAGAGAACCAGTAATTAAAGATAAAATGAAGGAAAAACATAGAGAAGAAAAGAAAAAGAAATTAGAGGAAGAGGAAAAATTAAAGAAAAAGAAAGATGCAGAAAAGGTATGTTAAATGTTTTTATTTCCATGTCTGATTATTGCCCTAGTCAATTATTATCCATACAGGGGTTCTAGTCAGTATGAGTTAGAGGTATGGGATCTTTCATTTCTCTGAGGGAACTTTCTGAATAACAAAAGTCAGTGACCTCCCATCTTTGATATTGTTCCTCTAAAAAAGGACCTATGCTTTTTTAAGGAGGGCCTTTATTTGATAATACAAATGCCCATGAACTTTTCGTTCTTTAAAGAAAATTTGAATCCCTGCCATAACAGACATTTCATTATAAATCAGTACCAAAAAAATAGCATGTTTCCGTGCACCTAGGACAATATTTTAAAATGTGAAAATTGATTTTTAAAGGAATTCAAGAAATGGAAAGAATTAAATGATGAAAAGTTGATTGAAAAGCAAAAAGAAAAGAAACGAGCTGAGAGAAGAAAAGAAGAAGAAGAAAAAAAAAAGCAAAGAGATCGAGAAAAAGATAATGAAAGTGCTCTCAGAGTCTGGTAGGTATTATTTACCTAGAAAGATTGTACTTTACTGGTTTTTTCACAGTACAGTAGTAACCTTCAAATCAAAGGCACTTCATGCAAATTTTATTCTATGAATTTTATCTTGTAAATATTGAAAGGCTAGGTCCAATTAAATACACCTGTCTATTATTGAATGATGCCAAGCTTCTAAGTTTGTAAGACATAGATTAAGACCATGATAAGTAATTTTAATGGGGTGCTAACTTTTTGCTTATTTTTAAGTTGGATCAAATAGGTTGGTAATTAGTACTATTTCACATATATTTGACAATTTACACACAAACTCATGCAAATCAATTCATTCTAATTTTTGTTTGTTAATGACTGACTTGTCTATCATTATAAACATTTCTAATGACACACCACTGTTTTTGATTATCCCAAGCTCACATTTCATTCTAAGTTATAAGAGGGTTAAGATAAGAATTAGTTTATTAAAGTGTCATAAAAGTCAACGATATAATTTAAATATGCATACAAAACAATAATTTTTCAGCCATTGATACGATATAATTGACACTATATAACTAACAAAATTTATAAACATAATTAAAAAATACTTTAAAATTTTCTAAAAATTTATCACTTAAGATTTCATAATTCAAATTACAATATCAGCTTTGTCAAATGGTATTCAAAACTTCCTTAAATATTATCTAATCAGAGCAAAATAAAACTGTTAAAATTTATTGAGATTTATATAAGAAGACTTAAAAAAAAATCAATGCCAGAAAAATGTATGTAGCAATATGCAGAGATAATACATGTACTACATATAAAGACAGTTTAAAATTTCCATAATTTACTGTCTTCATTTAGACTATGAAGCTTTTCAATGAATTTTGAATACTTATTGCGAACCAAATGATACAAATGTACTTTTCCACAGATTCACATAATTCAAGCTTAAATACGAAAAATCTATCAAATATGCCACAAAATGTCACTTTTCAGATGGGTTTTGTCTAAAATGGAAATGGCCACATTTGTGTTTAGTCTCAACCTTTATATATGTTATGTATTATCATCAAATACAACATATATTTAAATATTAAGGATGTATTCTTCTGATGTTTCAGTCTTGTTGAAATCTCGTTCTGGAACTATTTCCAAAACATGTGATACAAGTGGAAATTATCAATGAATTTAAAAAATATTATAATCAAACTTAACTCTGTGAAAAAATTGTGTATTTATAATAAGTAGTTTTTGAGTAATAAAATTTTCAAATTTGATAACCAATCAAGTCAGTCTTATTAGCTAAAAAGCTCAGAAAATGGGTGAGGGGTACAAGAAAAGATTTTACCAAATACATGTACATCCCATATCAAATTTTCTTTTCAAATTTCTTAGATATGTATTTTTTCAATCATTTATAGCAAAGAAGTTGAAATAATATGCTTTTTGTTCTAAAAAAAGAGAAAAATCCCAAATTGACAAAATTGACAACATGGTAAATTTGACACGAAAAAGCAACAAAATTTTATAAAACTTTCTTATATTAACACCTACCCATAGTTTTTTAAGGTTAAATTTATTCAGATTGGTCCACTTCATCTTTAGGGAAAGTATGAAAAAAAGTTTAATTGTGAAACTGTCATTTTTCTCATGATAATAGCCCAAAAATGGGTAAAAATTGATGAAAAATGGGGTACTTTCAAATGGCTGTAGCGAAAAAAGAAGTGCACCATCATATGATTTTTTCTTCACCAATTATTTTTTTACAGTCATATAAACCCACAAATCAGGTTAAGAAAAAAAGTTTGATTCTAGAAATTTTTGGCTCCTCAGAGGTGTACATCCTTAAGGCTGAACACAAGTGCGGTCACTTCCATTTTAGACAAAAACCATCTAAAAATAAGCACAAATGATAAAGTTGTGAAGATTTCAGTAATTTTGCATGAATTAATTATGCTAGTACCTGATGCATGTGCAGTGTAATGTCAAAAACAGCCCATATGTATGTAACAAAAGTATTCTTCTTTCAAATTAATAGCTAAAAGTTTACATTTTTAACAAATTTTAGAAATGCTATATTTTGGGGCCAAAAGGGGGTCTTACCGGGCCTACTCCTTTAGCCACAAGCATCCTGGGGGTATTTATTTAAAACAATGTATCTGATGATTCTGCCAGCAAACTAGCATGGAGGCCAGTGCTAGATATTGAACATAGGGGTCAAAAGTGAGTTATTGCTAATATCTTGAAAATCATTATAGTTAAGATATTCTTGTAAGGGCAAAATGTTTAAAATATCAATTTTTACCTATTGTCCATTGAAATACATTATGGGAGTTATTGCCTTGAAATGGAGATTTTTACCATTATTTGGCACTCTTTGCTATTATCTGGGAGAGTATTATAGAAAAATAGAAATTTTTACAGCAAAAATTATCAATATGACAATATCTACAAATAAGTCGAATGGCCAAAGTTGTCAGTTGACTACTTATATTAGTTATTAAACTTATAGGTATCTTTGCATTCAGATCATGATATTTTACCAATAATTTGTTTTTGCCTTATATATATAATAGAAACTTTAATTGACTGAACTTTGAACAGCAAAAATGACACTAGTAATATTACCCAATGTCTGTTCTTTCAGTCTCCATTCAACTCAAATAATTTTGTTGCATTGTTTGAAATTTTTTGCAAAAATACCAGTTCAGGTGAGCATATCACCTGATTTCATTACTTAAGAGAAAATATATTTCATAGTTGAATTGGTATTTTTATCTATAAATCAGGAATTGTTGAATTATATTTTGGAATTTTTTAGTTTTACATTAGTCATAGCAAGCTCTTGATAAGTAGTACAAATGTATAATGAAACTTATTTTACAGGAAAGAGAAGAAGGAAGATGTTATTAAGGAAAAAACCAAAGAAGAAAAAGATAAAATGAAACAAACAAAGAGATTTATGGATGCAGAAAAACGAAAACAGGAAGAGGAAGCCAGACAAAAATATGAGAAATGGCTGTCAAGGAAGGTACGTCCTACAATCATATCTGTAATTTCCAATGCTAGGGGGCCTCGGTGGCCGAGTGGTCTAAGTAGTCGAACTACTGTATCACTAGCCAGTCAATACTGAGGTTATGAGTTTGAATCCTGCACGGGGCAGGTGCATTCGACTCCAATCTTAATTGACTAGGATTGTCAGTTTTTGTCGAGCCTGCGACTTTTGTCGCAGAAAGCTGGACATAGGGATAGTGATCCGGCGGCGGCGGCGGCGTTAGCTAACTTCTTAAAAGCTTTATATTTTAGAAGGTGGAAGACCTGGATGCTTCATACTTTGTATATAGATGCCTCATGTTACGAAGTTTCCGTCAGTCACATGTCCAATGTCCTTGACCTCATTTTCATGGTTCAGTGACTACTTGAAAAAAAAGTTAACATTTTTTGTAATGTTAAATTCTCTCTTATTATAAGTAGTAGGATAACTATATTTGGTATGTGCGTACCTTGCAAGGTCCTCATGCCCGTCAGACAGTTTTCACTTGACCTCGACCTCATTTCATGGATCAGTGAACAAGGTTAAGTTTTGGTGGTCAAGTCCATATCTCAGATACTATAAGCAATAGGTCAAGTATATTCGGTGTATGGAAGGACTGTAAGGTGTACATGTCCAACTGGCAGGTGTCAACTGACCTTGACCTCATTTTCATGGTTCAGTGGTTATAGTTAAGTTTTTGTGTTTTGGTCTGTTTTTCTTATACTGTATGCAATAGGTCTACTATATTTGGTGTATGGAATGATTGTAAGGTGTACATGTCTAGCTGGCAGGTGTCATTTGACCTTGACCTCATTTTCATGGTTCAGTGGTCAAAGTTAAGATTTTGAGTTTTGGTCTTTTTTTCTAATACTATATGCAATAGGTCAACTATATTTGGTGTATGGAAATATTTTATGATCTATATGTCAGTCGCGCAGGTTTTATTTGACCTTGACCTCATTTTCACAGTTCATTGCTCAGTGTTAAGTTTTTGTGTTTTGGTCTGTTTTTCTTAAACTATAAGCAGTAATTCAACTATATTTGTTGTATGGAAGAATTGTTAGCTGTACATGCCTGCCTGGCATGGTTCATCTGACCTTGACCTCATTTTCATGGTTTATTGGTCAATGTTTAGTTTTCTGGGTAATGTTAAGTTTATGTGACAGTTGTAATAAAGCTTTATGTTTAGAACTATCAACATAATATCAGTGATTAGTAAAGAAGGCGAGACATTTCAGCATGTGCACTCTTGTCCTACCAAAGGTTGGTGGCTTTCTCTGGGCACTCCGGCTTCCTCCACCAATAAAAACTGACCACACGAAATAGCACAATAGTGTTGAAAGTGGCGTTAAACACCAATCAATCAATCAATCAATCCAATGCAAGGACAAAAAGGTTGTCTTGTATACATGTAGGTCTTTTGATACTTTGAAATTCATTATTCATCTCCCAAATTATGTCCACATATGTTAGTTCAATTTTTGTTATAATCCTCATATAGTCTTGTCACTTTAGTTATTTAGTTAAGATATTATCTCAGAAGTGATAAGTACTGAGAAAATGTTAAGAGGGCTATTGTCAATTGGCAGTTTCAGAATCTAAAGGACTATGGGTAATTTTATTCTTCATATCCCAAAATGAAAATAACATCACATCATTGGTAGAATTTCAGTTGTTTAGAACGTTTTCAACCAATCACAATTTTTTGGTGTATACTTTTGAAATTTTACCAAGAATGCATTAGATTCAGAAAAAGCAAATTGTTTGCAGTTTTTGTCTTGCTTTGACGGAGTCAAAAAGCGAGACATAGGTATGCTGTTATCGGCGATGGCGTCAACAATGTATTAGTTTGTGATTAGGTCTAGTTCATGGTTAAACCACTAGTGGTAGGTCAATGATATTTGGTATGCAGTTGTATGGCACATCTCATTACCATGGAGATTATTTGGCCCCGCCCCCTCAGTCAAGGTCTATTGCTTAGTTTACATGTATTAGTTTGTGATTAGGTCAGTTTATGGGGAACCACTGGTGGTAGGTCAATGATATTTGGTATGCAGTTGTATAAGCATTGGCATATCTCATTTCCATGGAGATCATTTGGCCCTGCCCCCTCATTCATGGTCTATTGACTTTGAAACTTTTGCTTAGTTTTCATGTATTAGTTTGTGATTAGGTCAGTTTAAGGGGAACCGTTAGTGGTAGGTCAATGATATTTGGTATGCAGTTGTATAAGCATTGGCATATCTCATTTCCATGGAGAATATTTGGTCCCTACCCCTGAGTCATTGTCTATTGACTTTGAAACTTTTGCTTAGTTTACATGTATTAGTTTGTGATTAGTTCAGTTTAAGATGAACCACTAATGTTAAGTCAATGATATTCGGTATAGAAATGTATTGGCATTTGCAAGTTTCATTTCCATGGAGATTATATAACCCCACCCCCTAATTATGGTTCATTGACTTTGTAACTTTTACATAGTTTACATGCTAATGTTTGTGTTTAGGTTTGTTTAAAGGAAACGACTTATGAAAAGTCAATGGTATTTGGTTTGCAGTTGTATTAGCATTGGCACATCTCATTTCCATGGAGATTGTTTAGCCCTGTACATTCAGTCATGGTTCATTGAGTTTGAATATTTGCATAACTTATTTCAACATTTGCATTATCAAAATAACAAATAGGCGAGACATATCTCTGTGTTAACAGTTTATTTTCATGCCTGCAACACGTTTTGCTACATGCCAAACATTATCATATGTATGTCTATAAGGTTTCTAATTTTTTCAGTTGTCATTCTCCCATTTTCCATGGTTAACTGACTTAAATTAATTCAATGTTGTCATAATCAGGTGATTTTTCACTTAGAAAAAAGTATAGGTAATTGGGTCATATTTTCAGCTGGTCCCAGTGGTATAATATGTAATTGTTGTAAATTTTTTCCAGTTCAAAATATAGAGGCTTCCCAAGCTTTTATAATCAGTAAAACTCATTCCACCCTTCCAGCTAGGTGAAAATAAATCATACTCTCTATGATAAGACCACCCGCATCCTTTTCCAACTTTATTGCCAAATTTAATTTTCCTTTGCAATTGCTGTTATAAAAATGTAACCAATACTGCAATGAATATGTATCAAGCTATGGTGTTAAAAAGCATGTCATTTTTGTAGTACACGCATTTTAGAGTGTTATGCCATTTCATGACGCTTTCTCATTGCCAGAGGTTTGCAACTATGGTTATGTCGGCAAGGCAAAGAGGCATTTTTGAAAGATGACCTTGGACTTGAATTTTATTTGATTTTCATCAAGTATAATTATTATATGTTGGTTGATGTAGAAAGGCCAAAATTTGCTTTCAGTTGTGGTCCACCTTCAGAACTTATAACTTACTTCTTGTTCTATTTTTTGTATGCCCCACCTACAATAGTAGTGAGAGCATTATGTTTTCTGGTCTGTGCGTCCGTTCGTTCGTCCATCCATCAGTCCCCGCTTCAGGTTAAAGTTTTTTGTCAAGGTAGTTTTTGATGAAGTTGAAGTCCAATCAACTTAAAACTTAGTACATATGTTCCCTATGATATGATCTTTCAAATTTTAATGCCAATTTCACGGTCCACTGAACATAGAAAAATGATAGTGCGAGTGGGGCATCCCTGTACTATGGACACATTCTTGTTTTTAATAAATGTTAATGTCTTTAATTTGATTATGATTTATATATTATTAGGACAAACAGAAAGTTGTTGATAGGAAGATAAGGTACAGTTCTACAGAAAGTATAGAGGAACGACCAGCTTGGAGCCCAGCTAGTAGAACAATTCCTCATGGTCGATGATAGCCAAAAGCTTGTGGTAGTGAATTTAAGAACTTGAAAAAATACAGGAATAAGTTTGATGTTGAATCCTTCATTGGGGATTATAGCTTTGTACATTTAACCAATTGTAGAACATAGGTAGCTAAGACATTTTATCTTGCTTACATGAAGTAAAATAAAACTATTTTTGTTCTGCTGCTTGTAGATTAACATCAGCATCAGTTGACATTAGTGATATTTATCCAAGCATCATTTGAATATTCTGTTAATGTAAAGTCTAAATGAATAGTTCATATTTGTTTCAAGATTCTTTATTTCCTGATGTTAAAAATGCTTTCACACGTAACATAACCCTACATGTGTATCAAAACTAACAGAATTTGTTTTTAAAGATATTTAATATATTTCATACCTTCTTTTCCTATTTTTTGAACTCTGAATTTTTAGATTTGTTTACTGATTTCTTTGGTTGTAGTAGTCATACTGATGTTGATATTGTTGTGGAAATTCCTCTTTCAGAGGCAGCTATTGTGAAAGTATGATTGCTGGTGGATTCATATGTTTTTTTATTGTCTCAAAATCATTCCACTCTAGATTTTCCTGTTTCATACCGAATCAAGTGGACAATATGCTCTTTTTGTTGTTCAAATTCCTATCATTAACAGACCACAGACTAGAACAACAGTACTCCAAAAAGAAAGTCATCTTATAAACAGTATAAATATATTTTTATTATTCTTTTGTAGCCTTAGGCCAAAAAAAAATATATGTCTGTTTAAGGTTGCATACTTTAAAAAAATAGGGTAGGTAGGTCAGTATTTCCATTTTATTTTATTTTTTCATTTTATTCTTTGGGACATGATTTTGAGTCATGCCGTTTCGTCTTGTCGTGGTCCGAGTTGATCATGGGTCGAGTTTACCCGTATTTTTAATGATTGGATTATTTCCCTTGGTAATTGGTTGGAAAAAATGGCGGCAAACTGTTTATTTCATCACACGAGTTGCGAATTTCCTTAAAACAGCTGTCATATTCATGATTGTGAACATTGGGATGTATCAGGCAATTGATTTATATCATTTGCAACACTAACTTCGCTTTTGACACGAGTTCAGTTTATTTTTCACTTTACGACGGAAATAAAAAAACACTTGTTGTTTAAGTTCTTTGAATTTCACTGCAGAAAACATTTAGATCATAAAACAAGAGTTATGTTTTCAGATTGTTTATGGACTTTAAAATCAAGTTTTCCTATAATTTTATCAGTTTTAAAGAAGAAAGCTACAAGTTTCCATAGAAATTAAGTTCAAGGGAGGAAACAGTATTTCCTAATGCTTAAAAACTCATGGAAAAAGTGTTGGACAATGTTTGTGGTTCACATTTAACAATTGACATGGTATTGATAAGACTAGAACAGTATAAGATACAGAAAATTACAATTTATACCTCTTCTTTTTTGAAAATAGTGAACATTATGGTTTATTTACAGATGTGCATGAATTCATCAATTTATTGAATTGTTTAATATAAATTCATCAATTAAAACATATCCATGATGTAATACTTGTTCCAGTTTTAATTTTTTTCCTGTACATTATAAATTTCTGAATATTTTTATGATAAATTTGTATGTATGTTTCATTGTCAGTGAAGTAAAAGTAGATTGTTTATTTTAGTGCTTTTAGATATTAATTATGTTTTACATATGACCTTTTTTGTTGAAAAATATTCCGTCCTAATGTGATATGTAATGTCTGATGTAGATATGTTTTATTTTTCATTTTTATTTAGTAAATGTAATTTCATGGATTTTAAACTAAAAAGGCCATTTTGATCTGAACTGAACTTAAAAGACCTCATTCTTTCAGTCACTTTTCAGAGCTATTGATTGCAATAAATTCAGTACTGTTCAGACATTTGGCTTGCCATCAAATTAAGGGGTGTTGTGTTTTTGGTATGAAGGAAAGTGAACATGCCTAACAATTCAAACTGAATACCCAATTTTTTGGCTATAAGGATATAAAAGTTTGTTGAAACATTATCAACAGAACCATACATTTAAACATGCTTGGCAAGCGTCACATTTTTAAGATTTAATTGTCTCAAGTGGGGAAATATGATATCTAACTCAACAAATTGGTAGAATGTATATTTAAGCTTTAGATTATTACTATTTTAGTTTAAGACTTAATAATAGCAGCAGTTCAGTCTATATTGTTTTAGTTATTTGTGTAGTACTACTTGATGTTTAGGTCTTCATCTTATCTGTGATATGTTTCTATTAAAAATCATGAGAATTAAACATCTTAAAACAAATTTAGTTCGAGTGTTTAACTTTACCAATTATTGACTTTGTCAGTATAGCAGATTTTGATAAGAGTGCATTTCTTTTGAGTTTGAAAGGGCACTTGCAGTGCTTTTGTAGTATTTCCAACAAAAAGAGCATGAACAATAGTCAATACATAAAATAATAATTATCTTTACAAAAGAAGGTTTGGACGGGTTGTTGTCTCTTTGACACATTCCCCATTTCCATTCTCAATTTTATTAACTAATGCACATATAGGTTAGAGTTAAAAACTTTGTTGTGGATTCTCTGATGCTCCTCTAAAAGTATCCCTTCCCCATCTGAATAGTTTGTTTTATTGAAATTGCTGTTATAAAATTTTCCAAGTCCTTTAAGATTAAGGAAAGTATCTCTCCCTCATGCATATCTCTGATTCCTTGTCCATGTTTTGCTGTACATTTGGTCCTTTTTGGTTAAATCAGCTCTTCAACGTCTGTATCAAGATTTGGAATTTCGCAAACATCTTGGCTTCGAGCACCAGTGAAGATACATTAATTGTTGAAATGAGCATCTGTTGTAGTAAAGTTGGAACGGTTTATGTTACATGGTACCTGAACATTGAACTGTGACTTAAAACTTGCCCTTTATTACCGAAGCATAAAATAAATTCAGAAGGTAGAGAAAAGCTATTGGTAACCCTTTTGGTTCATTATTAATCCAAGAAACATGATTGAATATTAAATAAGGAGATGTGGTGTCCAATAAAGACCACAGGACAAAGATGTGAACAATTACAGTTCATCATAAAGCCTTTAACAATGAGCAAAACCAATACGGTATAGAAAACTTTAAAAGGCCCTCATCTATGCTTCAACAATAAACTTGCAACAAATATGGCAGACCACCAAAAACAACCACTGGATTACAAGTTATATTGTAGTCTTTTTGTTAATGTCTTCTTCTTCTTGCATGCACACAAACGTGACAATAGATTTATAGTAAACATCGTCTCCTTGTATACTACTTTAATGTTCAATTATGAGAGCTCGTCGAGGTAAGCAATATCATAGTCTGAGATTGTGTCTTAAAAAACTGCTTGACATATTAACACAAGTACTGATGATATATTTATTACCATAATTTGGGTGTTTTGCAGTATAATTAGAATCGTTTATGATATTAAAGTAAAGGGACTTTCTTTAAATAAAGTACTTAAAAACAAGGTTACTCATTAGGACCATCTTCTTGGCTGTATGACCTGAATGACTGAATACTCAAATTGTACAGCAGAATAAATGTTGAATAAAAAAGTTGATTGAATGTTCAATGAACTGACAAAGGCATCTTTTCCCCTATCTTCCTCCGGGTTGGTATATATGTAGTAAATGTGAAAACATGCCAATGGCAATTCTAATATTGTGTATAATACAGTCATTATGACAACAGACTGTAGAAAACGGATATTCCTTGTAATGATTGCTGAGTCCAAACTACTTTGTCTGCACCAACGAATCATTTGTAGCATCTTAATAATCAAACATAAATCCACAAAAAACATACAAGCGTACAACAATAATCCCATTACTGGTTTTGCAACAAGTGTCATCACATCTTGAGAAATATGCACATTGATCCATTCCATATAGGCACATGACTGAACCGGTTTATGATGGTCTGTATACGAATGAAAGTAGGTAAATTCTTACTTCATCGAAATTAAATTAATTGTCAAAGCACTCATGCTTACTAAAATTATAATGCTAGTAAAGGCATTCATATACGGACTAGTTTTTTGGCAACCAATGAATATGTTACATGAATAAACCGTCGAAAGGTCATTAGAGTCTGTAATATTGTTTTTAATTAAAATACATAATTGGTGAGCAAAGATAAACACATAAAGCATAAGCCAGGCCAAATGGTTCAAATATTCAATACAGTCATCAATAAAGACAACTTTGATCAAAGTCGATGTAGAATAGACAAATGAAATGAAATCCATTAAGAATATAATATACGTCAATGAGACTCCATTGCAGACAAAGGCTGTGTTTGGATATACGCCTAAGGCAGCCTATGGTTACCCATAGGTATCTTTGGGTACCCATGGTTTGATATTTTGATATATAGAATATCAAACCAAAGGTACCTATGGATAACCATAGGCCACCTCTGGCGTATATCTAAACACAGCCAAAGTCTTTCTTTTTATATCGGATTATGATAAAAAAAAATAATCGACAATATTGTTAAAATAGCAATCGGGAATATGAAGTATTCATAACCAAGAAAAAAATCTTTTGGTTTGAATATCTACAAGACGAATGGGAGGCAAACAATATTGATGCCATTGTTTCATGCAAAATGAGTATTAAGATTTATATCTATAACATATGTATCCTTCTTTTTTCTAGTTATCTGTTCTCTATCTATCATCTTTATTCTCATTCGTGTCCTCCTTAAAACAAAACCAAACCAAAATGACGTTCGTTACAGCTTCATCGTGACGTGTAAAACAATAGTTCGCTTTCATAATATCAATCATTCCACACGCATGGTGTTTTATTAATTCATATATTATCCATACTATTATTTCATCATCTCACCATGGATGTTTTAATTCTATCATAAATCTTAGTTAATACAAATTACAAATTAAACAAGTTGCTTTCTTTAAAAAAAAGAAATGCAATCGTGAACCTAAATGCCTGTTTGGCATGAACGATCAGATAATTGGTACATTATAATAAAGAAGCATAATATTACCCTTTTTTAATATAAAATGAAGAAAAACTGATATGGGTTCTTATAGAAGCTGCTTTTCTATGTGGGGTATAATTTTCTTGTTAAAGAAATAATTTCTCTCTCTCTCTACCATCCCTCTCTCTTCCGATAGATAACATAACAGCATGCAACCTGATTAAAATTCAGATTTATCTTAACTCGCATGCTCGTACATATAAGCATACGAGGAAAACGAAAACACATCTCTATATTATGATTAGATTGTACAACATGCTACCACTCACGGTTTGTTCCATTCTGAGGCCAGAGCTATTTTGGAAATTAGAGGTAGCGTCCTGGCTAAAGTCGAAATGTAAATGTGAAAACAGTCTTTGTTTTGAAGAAGTTTTTGAAATGAATCATGATTATTTGTTTGTAGCCAGTTTGAAAATAGTTCAAAACCCTAAGCTATATTCGTATTTGTTAATTGATTATTCCGAACTAAGACCGTTTTGGAAAATCAATTACACTGGTTTATATGGGTTGGTCATTGGCTATCATATTCGAGATATTCTTGATCTCAATTTATTTATACCCCAGCTTGTATTTCAGAAACCTTAACATATGCGACTCTTAATTTTTTTAGCTATTGATGTACGATATCAATCAGTCTCGATGAACACTTATCTCTATAGAAACTGTTGGACGCTAATACATATTCATTAGATTCATTACCTTTTACGCAGGTAGCCATATAAAAGAACTGATGTATTCCGAAAAGACAGTAGGCATTTCCGGTATTCCGAAAGACTACAGCATCAATTAAGGGACGACATCAAAAGATCAATGTAGGATAAAAAACTTAAATCAAATAGTTTGGGGGTGGGGGGTTAAAATTGCTGCAAGTTTTGTTTATCCAAAATCGATTTTACATATACTAGTATCAATATTGGTCAATCAATTTTTCCCAAATTAAGTTAAGAGGGGGGGGGGGGGGGGGGTCAGTGAAAAAAACTATGTGAATTAAGTTTTTTATCCTACATTGAACTTTTGATGTCGTCCCTAATATAATAAATATCAACCGCTCGTAGATAAAAGTTACCCTACAAAGACCCCCTGGGGAACAGACAGGAAGTATGTTGAATGCATAATAATACATAACTATTTTACCATTTGTGAAATATTCGTCTGGGGAACACTTAATGAAAGTGCGCATTTAGTGAAGTGTTCTTCAAGGGAATGTGCCTCTGGAAAACACAAATCAAAAGTTACCATTTAGTGAAATGAACTGTTCCCCTAGGGCACATATTTCAAACGTTACCATTAGTGAAATTAATCCTGAAACGCTGGACATATTTTTTAATCATATCATTATATTACCAATTTCAACAGTTCTTTGAATTGAAATTCCCATCGAAGGAAAATTAAACATTTAAAAAACAACAGTCCATTTTTGATTTTCTCAAAAGAGAAACATCATATAAAATTGAAAAGTATATGATACTCAAACTTATCCAACCCTAAGACAGTGTTTCACATGATACCAAAACCTTCTCGAACTGTTCCCCTAGAGCACACATTTTATAAGTTACCATTAGTGAAATATACCCTGAAACGTTGGACATATTTTTTTATCATATCATTATATAACCAATTTCAACAGTTCTTTGAATTGAAATCCCCATTGAAGGGAAATTAAACATTTAAAAAACAACAGATCATTTTTTATTTTTTTTAAAAAAGAAACGTCATATAAAACTGACAAGTATATGATGTAAGTGGCAGTTTAAACATGTGACAAACACTCAAATCTATCCAACCCTGAAACAGTGTTTCACATGATACCAAAACATCTTAGGTTCTTTAATTAAACATCACGCAAATAGAAGCCTTAAATAGTATTTTTCGCATACCTGGATTTGTGCCCAAACCTATAAAACCTAAGTCATCTTCTTTATTTCAGATGCAATTGCCATAAATTTTTCATTGCATTTCAAAGTAGATAAGTAATTATTAGTTACTACTGGTTGTGGTCGTAGTGCCATGTATTCTAAACATTAAGGGACATCAGACTCGGACTTCTCTTGAACTGAATTTTAATGTGCGTATTGTTATGCGTTTACTTTTCTACATTGGCTAGAGGTATAGGGGGAGGGTTGAGATCTCATAAACATGTTTAACCCCGCCGCATTTTTGCGCCTGTCCCAAGTCAGGAGCCTCTAGCCTTTGTTAGTCTTGTAGTGTTTTTAATTTTAGTTTCTTGTGTACAATTTGGAGTTTAGTATGGCGTTCATTATCACTGAAC